GCTTGCCTTGCATGCATGAGGCTCTGGGGTCAATTCCTCAGCACCACATAAGCAGAAAAAAAAGCCGGAAGTGGCGCTGTGGCTCAAGTGGTAGAGTGCTAGCCTTGAGCTGAAGAGCTGAGGGACAGTACTCAGGCCCAGAGTTCAAGCCCCATGAACAACAACAACAATAACAAAAGACACAGAATGTTTTCCATTCTTCATAAGTAAAAGGTAAGATTCTTCACAGTGGTAAGGCACTAGCCTTGCGCAAAAGAGCTCAAAGACACAGCACAGGCCCTGAGTTCAAGTCCTGTGATTGACAAAAAAAGAAAGAAAAAAGGAAAATGCTAAACATTGTTTCATGGTTATAAAGACCCTTCTTTTCTTGTTGGGCTTTTCTTAGGCACATACAATTCCTTTTCCTCATCAGACTCTTTAATTCAGGAAAATGGAATTTCCTGAAGAGATTAGATATTATAGATTAGATTCCTCCCAGTTTTCTAAAATCATGCTCAATATTCTCATTATGACTTCTGGAAGGGTTTCTTCCTTTCTACTTCCAACATAGAAGGGAACCCAGGAAAGGTCCTTACTCAGGAAGGCTGAGATCTTTGACTGCTTAAAAGGATTCTCTGCCATTCTTTTTTTTTTTTTTTTGGGTCCAGTCGTGGGGCCTGAACTCTGAGCCTGGGTGCTGTCCCTCAGCTCTTCAGCTTAAGGCTAGCACTCTACCACTTGAGCCACAGCGCCACTTCCAGCTTTTTTCTTATGTGATGCTGAGGAATCAAACCCAGGGCCTTGAGCATGCAAGGCAAGTGCTCTACCACTGAGCTACCTTCCCAGCCTCTCTCTGCCATTCTTATCTGACCAGATTCTATGAATTATTTAGAAGGAACCAATGAAAAGCCTTGAGAACTAATTTTACCATGTTCATGATAATAATTTTCCCTAAGTGCAGCTTCATGGATTTATCAACACTATTGCACAGTCCCTGTAGTTCTCTGTAGATTTGATTACTACTCATCTGTCTAGTGCAACTATTCCCGGTGGTATTAGCCAGGTCAAAGCAAAGCATGTGCTTCTATCTCACAGATTCAAATCCCCTTCTTATACATACCCCCCCATCCCCCAAGCACATGCCCTAATTGTGGGGCATGAACTCAGAGCCTAGGTGCTGACCTTGAGCCAACTTTTTGCTCAAGGCTAGCACTCTACCACTTATAGCCATAGCTCCATTGCTGGTTTGTAGGTACTTAATTGGAGATAAGAGGCTCATGGCCTTTCCTGCCCAGGTTGGTTTTGAACTGTGATCCTAAGATCTCAGCTTCCTGGGTAGGTAGCATTACAGGTGTTAGCCATCAGCAGCAGGCTCTAACACACATTCTATGGTAATGTATGAGTCCATTAAAACAGAAAGGGGCACAAAGCTTGAAGCTAAAGTTGCTTTTCTTTTTATAAAATATTTATTTTTATGTTTTACTCAAAAATAATTAGAATCCGAAAGCAAAGTCATTATTTTCTGAGTCTAGTTTATGTTTCAGTAGGGAAGATTAGTTCACTTTGACTGAAGCATGTGAGTCAGGAACCCAGCACTCTTATCAGAAAAATGACTCAGTCCTCAGAATGAGTCCAACAAAATCTTTTCACTAGCCTCCTGGGGGTTGTGGAACTGACACAGAGTTTTCCCCTCTCATTGTTTTCACTTCCTATGAGCTCAGTATGAGCCAAGCCAGGAGTGACATCCTCCCCTCCCAGAAGGAGGCAAAAACTTCCCAATGCTTTTAACTTCCACACTGGGTAAATTAGTGGAACAGAGCTTCTGATCTGCACCTCCAACTTGATGGAGGGCAGTGATTATTTTATAGTCACTATTTACTTTTAAGATTCTTATCTCCAGTTAACCACTAGAAAGTCTAAAGCAGCTCCAGTGCTAGCTCTGAGCAGAAGAGTTCAGGGACAGGGCCCAGGCCCTGAGTTGAACCCTCAGGAGACAAAAATAACAAAATGTGTCTTAACAGGGCATTTTACCTCCCTTCCTCTTCTCTCCCCCACACACTGAGTCATTGAACTCATTTTTTTAATCGCTGGAACTCTCTCACAAAAGCCATGCCTCTACAGCAGCATTTTGCTGGTTATTTTAGAGATGGAGTCTCTAGTATTACATACAGGCTTGAGCCACCAGAACCTGCCCTCCCCTGCCAGCTCCCCACAACCCCATCAAAGCTTGCCTTGTCAACAAGAGCCCACAGCTGGATGCTCCCAGCCTTCATATTCACAGTATTCACGGTAGGAGACCATGAAACTAGTTGGCTATAGCAAACAGCTAAGCAGCTAGTGGAGTCTAAGCACTAAGAAGCAATATACTTGATACAAGTAACATACAGTAATACTCAGTAATTTCTTGAAGTCTTCCAGCAACATAAAAATTCAGTGTTTTTAGAAAGGGGGGAGGAGGGGAGATGACTTGTTATCACATCCAAACACAATTTATACCTGCCTAAAGTCTCTTTCTTATATTCTAGCTCATATTTAAGGTTTTCTTTTTTTTTGGGGGGGGGGTCCAGTCGTGGGGCCTGAACTCTGGGGCCTGGGTGCTGTCCCTCAGCTGTTCAGCTTAAGGCTAGCACTCTACCACTTGAGCCACAGCGCCACTTCTAGCTTTTTCTTTTTGCTTATGTGATGCTGAGGAATCGAACCTAGGGCCTCAGGCATGCAAGGCAAGCGCTCTACCACTGAACCACCTTCCCAGCTCCTCTTGTTTTGTTTTGAGACAGTCTCACTAAATAGTCCAGGCTGGCCTTGAACTTGTCATTCTGTCTGACTCCTGAATGTTGGGATTATAAGCGTGTTTCACTTTGCCTGGCTTTTATACAATTTTTTAAAAGATTTGTTTATTTCCTTTTCTAGCTCAGTGAAGATTAGAAGGGAGGGGAGACTGCTACAGCAGACTCTAATGATGAAAAGTCATAATTACATATTTGGTATCCTTCCAGGACTAGTTCCAGAATCCCCATGGATAATAAAGTCCATGTATACTCAGGCCAATCATAAAAAATGGCATAGTATCTGCATACAACTTAAATCTTCTCTGGATTATTTATAATATCAATACAATGTAAATGTTATATAAATACTTATCATGCTATATTGTTTTTTACATTTGTATTATTTTTATTGTTGTTTTATGTTTTCTTATGAAATGCTTTTAATCTGTGGACAGTTGAGCCAACAGATAACAGAAAATATCTCCTTCATATACACCAAGCAGATTCAACCAGTACAACATGGCAGAGGTCCTGAACCAGTACTTCAATACTCAAACTGCATAATAATTTAGGAACATGTACATCAGAACAGCCCCCAATTTTTCTAATATATTTGAGAATATTACTGTAGAATAAAGTATACTTTTTAGTGTTAACCTGCACTCATTAAGAAAAAGTTATACATAATATAATGTTGAGAAAACAAGGAAAATAAAATTTAAAGTAATTCTTATGCTAGCTAAAATCTAGTTAGTTAAAACCATTTTGCAGCTGACAGGGATAAATTTGTTTTCTAAAAATGGATCCAGGTGAATTGGATAATAGACATATACTTATAGAAAGTGTATCTTCTTGAGGAATTTCCAACAGGAGAGAAAAGAAAAATGTTCAGGCTAAACAGGGAAGGCTACACTGACACTAGAACAGAAGCATGTGTGTTTTGAAGAGGAACACAAATGGGCTCATGAGTATGAATTTTCTCTATCTACCCTTTCTCTAGCAGGTACCTCAAGAAACTCAGAAATAAGGACTACTGTTAATCCGGGCATTATTTCCAAGCATGGTAAGAGAGCCTGTAGCTAATATATCACATCAATGCTGAATATCCCTTAGGTCGTTTTTTAAGGGGTTCTTCAGCGATGGCCACTCTGTATACTTGGATCTTGGCCCACAAAGCTATCATCTTTCTAAGACAATGTGGCTTTGATATGGTGTCAATGTCTTTCCTACTCTTTTTTGTTTTTATTTTTTGAGGCAGGGTTTTACTATATTATCTGCTATGTAGCCCAGGCTGGCCTCAAAGTCTTGTTCATCTTGCCCCAGCCTCCCAAGTGCTAGGATTACAGGGAAGTATCACCATGCCTGGCTGCCTTTAATCTTTGATGGGCAGGGGTTCTGAGAGAACAAATTTTTACTGTTTAACTATGTAAGTATAAGTGGGAATAATTACTATTACTGATGAAAATGAAATGCCAGTAGTATCCTTTCTAAATCTATTCTATATACCATGAAGGTCACAGTGGTGGAGTGAAGCATTTAGCACAAAGGAAACCCTTGAGTATAGTGAGAGTCAAACTCAAAAGAAATACCCCTGGCCAGCAAATCCACATTTTGGGGTCCAGGCATTTAAACATGCATTGTTTTAATTTAGGCTCACAAAATCTTAGGACTGGAAATTCCTGAAGGTAATAAAAACTAAAACAGAACTCAAACTCTCCTATAGGCAAAGAACATGTACTCTTGGAATCTGGGATGCACTATTAAGCTGCTTGCTGTAAAAAGCATCTTTTAAAGCATCATGTTTCATTTAATAACATCAGAATTTGATTCCCTATTTCTTAGCATACTTAAAAATTTCCCCTGTGTGATATCAACACTTTAGGAGGTGAACCATGTTTATCTTAGGGCATCTCGTGGGTAAATCTGAAAACAGAGCCCTGAGGATGTCTTCACTGCAGTTAGCAAATTAGTTAATTTGAAATCTCAGGAAATCCTGAGTTTCTTACATAAGAATAAGGAAGGCTAGACATTTTTTTCTACACCCTTAATAATGAAAATTAAACTATGGTAGGAAAAAGTTCAAACCATCTTATTGTACATCCAAGAGACTGTTTCGTTTCCTTACAGTGTGTTGTGGTGGCAAGGGAAGTGAGAATATGAAAACCAGAGTTGGGAGTGAAACTTTAGATACTCAATTAGTACCAAGCAAATATATAAATATTAGGAAAAGGAAAAAAGAGGAGCAACACTTACTTTAAAATCTGCTAGCTGTTGGTTAATGACATCCACTTCGGTTGCCACTACCCACTGGAGCGCCTCTCCCTCCTCTGCAGCTGTAGTTGCATCATTGAGAACCTTCAATTTCCTATAGAAGTCCTCTACTCGACTCAAGGTCAGCTCCAGCTGTTCCTGGCGAGCTTTTCCTCTCTCGGTCAGTTTGCTGCACTGTTTGTTTAGGGCTTCTAGTTCCCTTTTGAGACCTAGTAGGTCCAGAGTCCCCTCTTCTTCTAGCATCTGTCGGCACTCTGCTTCAGAGGCTTCTATGTCTAACCTGAGGACTTGAATTTTGTTAAGGAACAGCCTTACATCCTCGATTTGTGACTGCAGGCTATCTGTGTCTCTGCCAATAGCACCCATGCCATCTAGCTCATCATCCAGGTCTGCCAATTGGGAAAACATCTCTCGGACTCGGCAGTGAAACTGGCCAATCCCCTCCAGTTTGTTTTCCATCATCATGCAACTACTATTCACTCTTTGCTTTACTTCTAAGAACTCTTGCTGGGTGACCTCAGCTTGATGTAAAAGTTGGGAAGCATCAGATCCATCGGGTGCATCTTCTACCAGCCCCTGAGTAAAGTTTCTTAGGTAGTCTACCTGAGGCTCCAGGGCCTGCAGTACTTCTTGTTGAGCTCTTAGCTTCTCCAGATTCTTATTGCTACATGCTTGAGAGCCCAGAGCATCAAAGATTTCAAGTTGGTGTTTGGCTCCTTCAACTTTCTTTTCAATATTCTTAAAGCTTTCCTGAAACTCCTTGAGCCTCTGAGTCATTTCTTCTAGTGACCCTGTTTTTGCCTGTAGCTCCTCTGTAATGGCATCCATGCTTTGGTTGATACCAGCCTTTTCATCCCGAATACCATCCTCATCTGTTTCTGAGGAATTAATTAGAATATCAGCAGCACTATTTAGTATTTCCAGTAAGGAACGGCGTTTTTCTACGTCATTCAGCATAGCCTTTGACCGCAGGAGACCGGACTCTAACTGCACTGGATCCAGAGTAACCTGCAGCTCAGACATCTTGTTCTTACAATCTTCTATCCAAGGTACAAGGTCTTCCACATGCCACTGATATTTCTGAGCTTTCTGCATACAGTCCTTGAGCCTAGACTGTCTATCTGCAGTTTTCTTACTAAGTTCTTCCCAGTGGCTTTTGAGTTCAACCAACTGGTTTTGTAAAGTTCTCTTTTCTTCTCCAGGAGGCACAGAAAGCAGCAGAGATTCTCCCTCAGCCACAATCACTTCATAGGAACCACTATGTTGATTAAGGCTCTTTTGAAACTCTTCATTCTCCTGAAGCTGAGACTGCAGTCGCTCCAATTTTGCAGAAATTGGGCAGTTTTTTGCTTGCTGGCTTTGTTTGTCATCTAACCAGGTCCTCAGCTCATCAAACATTTGCTGGAACTGCTGGGTGCTGGCAAGAGCTGCCTGTAGTCTGTTCATGCGATCAGCTGAAATAAGAAAATGAAATCAAAATCAATCAAGCCTGAACATGGCATTTAAAGTATTTGTTGGGGGGACTGGGAAGGTGGCTCAGTGGTAGAGCGCTTGCCTTGCATGCCTGAGGTCCTGGGTTCGATTCCTCAGCACCACATAAGCACAAAGAAAAGAGCCAGAAGTGGCACGGTGGCTCAAGTGGTAGAGTGCTAGCCTTGAGCTGAAGAGCTGAGGGACAGCGCCCAGGCCTAGAGTTCAGGCCCCATGACCAGACCCCCCCCCAAAAAAAAATAAATAAAATATTTGTTGGGGAAGGAATCTTAGGGGAAGGAAATAAATATTAACTGAGAGTGTACTATAAAAGAGGCATATAACTAGACTTGTATACACATTATATCCTATTTAAATCTATCAACCTTATAAGGTGACCTGAGAGTTCTAAGCTACTAAAAATTGACAGTCATAAATAATTCCAGAAAAATAAGCAATAAAGAGATGACATTATTTTTTCTTTTATGAGGTCATCAGAAGTCCAGAATATATTCTAATTTTGCATATATGCAGGGAGAGGGTTTATGCATGGATATACCCAAAGAATAAAGAAACTAAGTGGCCATAATAAAAAGGCATATGTAAGTCCACTTATTAGTATTAGTACACCTATGGGCATGTCTACCTGCTGACTTTGTGTTATAGCTTTAATATCTAGGACCGTGGTATGTAGAACTCCATACAGCATATGGAGCTCAGTGTGTAATAACCACAGCAATTCTCTGTCACAGGAATAAGGGCTAGATTAACATTATTATAAGCTCAAAAGCAAGCTAAAGTTGATCTTAGATGTTCATGACTACTGCCACTTTCACCCTAACTTACCTGCAAGGTCTTCTAAACCTTGGAGTGGCAAGGCAACTGTGTCCAAACGCTTCTTCAGCTCATCCTTAAGATATGGCTCTCCAATGAGCAGTGAAAGTTCATCACACAGTGTTTGGGCTTCCTTCATCTCACAATCTAATTGCTCTAAGTCAGATCGAATCTCACTAGTTTCCTCCAGTTGCTGCTTTACTGCCTCAGGTTGGGTGCTGATGGCCGACTGGCTGCTTAGTCGATGTCCAACTGCCTTCACTTTCTCTGATAAGTCCTGTAGCAATTCTTGGTACTGGGTGCTTTTGACAAGAGCTTGGTCAATTTGGCTGGAACGGGAATTAAGTTTGTCCGTCAGCTCAATCCACTTCTGGTTGATGCTCTGGAGCTCTTTCTGTACTTGGCTGGTGGATGGAGAGACATCTCCAGGGCCTGTTAGGATGCCCTGAGCTGCCTCATTCAGCTGCTCATGCTGTTGCCTGCGTGCTTCAAATTCCTTCAGCATAAACTGAAACCAAAATGACACCAAGATGTTTGGACTGAGAAAACAGATCTAAAAACAGTGTCAAAACAAAAACTGATTTTGGATTGTGCCAATCCTCTTTTGAAAATAAGCCAGGAAACTCCAGGGATAAGTCTACTAGGCTAAGGAAGTATTACTTTGACAATTCCTTAATAAAAATTTATTTTTAAGTATTGGTTGTATCTATCTTACATTTTTTTTCCTTTGTCTCATTTTGTTTTAGTGTCAGTTACTAAGGTCAATCTAGGGTAGGAAACTATCTCGGCATTTATCAGCTTTGCTGTGCAACACCAGGCCTCTGATTTGTCTCAATGTCAGTTATATTACCAGTTGGGCTTCTCATTTCAACTCTCAATGCTTCTTCTTAGTTTCCTTGTCTCTCTTTTTTTCTCTATGTTTTGTGCTCAAAGCTGGTACTCTACCACTGAGACACAGCTCCACTTCAGGCTTTTTGGTGGTTAATTGGTTATAAGTCTCTTACAGACTTTTCTGCCCAAATGAGTTTCCAACCACAACCTTTGTATTTCAGCCTCCTGAATAGCCAGGATTATAGATGTGAGCCACAGTTTTTTTCTTAGTTTCTTTACCGAAATTCCAGTAGTGCATAAAATCTTTACATTATAATATATTACAATCAGAGAAAGAGCTTCTTTAAAGCTTTCAATTAATTTATTTTCCATCTTTTATTGCTCTCATCAAAAGTTAGGATTATGGACTCTTGTACCAGAGTGCCTGCATTTAAATTCTGGCTCTGTCTGTCACTAGTTGCATGGCACTAGGTAAATTTCAAAAGTTTTTCCAACTTCAGTTCCTCATCTTTACAATTATGATAGCAAAATATTTATCTTGGCTGTTATAAAGATAAATGATGTCTGTCACCTCAGTTGTGAGAAGTACAAAGGAATATCTCAGATACACAGGGAAGCACAAATAGGAGAAATGACCTAGGCATAAAGCAAACCCCTATCTCAAAAAATCTTAAGCAAACAAACAAAAATAACAACCCAATGTTGCTCCCTGCCATATACCAATGCAAAAGGGCAGGTGGAATAGCCAGTAGTAGAATGCCTATATAGCCAGTGTAAAATCCTGAGTTAAAATTCTAGTACCATCCTCGGGGCTGGGAAGGTGGCTCAGTGGTAGGCTTGCCTTCCATGCATGAGGCCCTGGGTTTGATTCCTCAGAACCACATAAGCAAAAAGAAAAAAGCCAGAAGTGGCGCTGTGGCTCAAGTGGTAGAGTGTTAGCCTTGAGCTAAAGAGCTAAGGGACAGCGCCCAGGCCCAGAGTTCAAGCCCTACGACCGGACCCCTCCCCCAAAAATAAAATAAATTCTAGTACCATCCAAAAAAGAAAAAAGATTAATTGAGCCAATAGCATTTGCACTATCCAAATAATAGGACATAACCTCAAGAAATAACAGATGTGTAATCAATAAGCTATCAGAATGCTGTGAAAGCATGGAGTAAGAGTGATTTAATTTATTGGACATAACAAAAAGTAGAAGAGGAAAATCAGAAAAGCTACCCCAGAGATGACAATAAAGAATAAATAACTGGGGGCTGGGAAGTTGGCTCACTGGTAGGGTGCTTGCCTCACAGGCATGAAGCCTGGGTTCGATTCCTCAGCACCACATAAGTAGAAAAAAGCCGGAAGTGGTGCTGTGGCTCAAGTGGTAGGGTGCTAGCCTTGAGCTGAAGAGCTGAGGGACAGTGCTAGGCCCAGAGTTCAGCCTCCACGAACCCCCACCCCCCAACACACAAAAGAATAAATAACTGAGTGCTGGTAGCTCATATCTATAGTCCTAGCAACTCAAGAGGGCCTAAGATTAGGCAAAGGTACAGAGCTGTAGGAAAGTGACATGTTAGAAAAGAACAAACTACCTGATATAGGTAGAAATACAGGCATATGGGGGTAGGACTAGAAATGAAGCTGGTGAGACAAGCTGAAACAAAAGGGTAAAAGGCCTTAAATACGGTCTTTAGCTGACTTTCTTCAATAGGCAACTAAGAGCCACTAAGTTTTAATACACTCATTTTTTGTTGTTGTTGTTGGTCTTGGGGCTTGAACTCTGGGCTTGGGCGCTGTCCTTGCACTCTTCAGCTCAAGGCGAGTGCTCTACCACTTCTTCTCTCATAAATGTTCAAATTTACCAGAGGTTACCTAACATCAAATGTTTCAAAAGGCTTGAACATGTTACTCATACTTTTGTGATGGTTTTATTATTGCTATTTTAAAAGTAATATTATATATATCTATACACACACATACTGTAAGTATTGATAGCAATTAATAAACATAAGCTCTTTAAAAATCTCAATGATTTTCAAGAGTATAAAAGGGGGTGTTTGAGACAAAAAAACTTTGAAAAATCCTGAAAAATATTTGTAAGTAGACTAACTAGAGCTCAAAAATTCTCTGGAGGCAGGAGTCAAAAGAAAAGTTTCTTTCAAAAATCACTCTTAGATCATAGGGAACTCTGTGAGAGGATGAAAAAAATGAATAGGTTGGGGGAAGGGTAGAATGAGGAAAATGTTTTAAGCAGGATTTCATGGGAAATTATACAATTTTGACATCATAAATTTCTATGTTATTAGAGGCTGGCACCAGTGGATCATGCCTGTAATCCTAACTACTCAGGAGGCTGATAATGAAGGATAGCAGTTCAAAGCCAACCAGGCAGGAAAGTCCATGAGACTCTTATCGCCAATAAACTATTCAGAAAAAGCTGGCACTATAGCTCAAGTGGTAGAGCACTAACCTTGAACAGAGAGGATCAGGGACAGAGCTCAGGCCCTAAGTTCAAGCCCCAGGTCTGGCAAAAAACAAAACCAAGAACAAAACAAATGAAGAAAATGACTAAGCATCAGTGGCTCAAGCCTGTAATCTGAGCTACTCAGGAGGTTGAGATCTGAGGATCGTGGCCAGCCTAGGCAGAAAAGTCCCCGTAAGACTCTATCTCCAATTAACCATTCAAAAACTGGAAGTGGAGTTGTGGCTCAAAGTGGTGGAACACTAGCCTTGAGCACAAGTCCTCAGGGACTATGCCCAGGCCCTGAATTCAAGCCCCATGACTGACAGAACCCCCCAAGCCCCAAAACCCAAAAAGCAAAAACGAAAACAGCTGAGCAAAGTGAGCTATGTTTAGTGATATGAAATCTGCTGGCTGAGAATAATATTCAATCCCAGATTCACATCACTCTCATTTCTTTACTCTAAAGCATTAAGGTTTATGGCTCACCTGGACCTGTTGCTTCTGTGCATTCAACATGTTGGGGTCAATTGACAGGGGCCCCAGAACTCCCATCATCAGCTCCTTCTCCATTAGCCAGGGCCGGAGCTGAGATTCTGCAGCCTGGAAGCAGGCCAGATGGTTTGCAGATTCTTCTAGCTGCTTTTGCCGAGCTACTGTCACCTCAGTAGCCCTTTCCCATCGGGAATCTGTAGAGAGGAAATAAGAGGATTCAGTTCTTGACTCTCATCAGCAACTGGCCTGATTGTTAATATATTACAGGAAATGACCCAAGGACCACGATTTAACATTTGTAAAAATTAAAAATAACCTTTAAAAATTTTAACTTAAGTAATAAAAACAGTTTGTCATCTTTTTTGGCATGGTGGTTACATGAAACTACAAATATGAAACAACTATAGACAATCACACACGCAGAGTACATATAAAAGTACTATATATTTTGTGATCTGAAAAATATTTTCATGCTAATGAATATCTAGTTACTTTACACAGAGTTCAATATTATGAACAGGTAATTTATCTAAGCCTATTCTTTTTTTTTTTTTTTGATCATGGGGCTTGAACTCTGGGCCTGGGCACTGTCCCTGAGCTCTTCAGTTCAAGGAGAGCACTCTACCACTTAAGTTACAATGCCACTTCCGGTTTTCTGGTGGTTAATTGGAGATAAGAATCTCATGGACTTTCCTGCCTGGGCTGGCTTTGAACTATGATCCTCAGATCTCAGCCTCCTTAGTAGCTAGGATTACAGGCATGAGCCACTGGCACCTAGCTAAGCCTATTCTTAAATTAGATTATTTCCAATTTTCATCACTATCCTTTTTTTTTTTTCTTAGTCCTAGGGCTCGAACTCAGGGTCTGGATGCTGTCCCTGAGCTTCTTTGTGCTCAAGGCTAGTGGTCTACCACTTGAGCCATAGCACCACTTCTGGTGTTTTTCTGAATAGTTTGGAGGTAAGAATCTCATGTTCTCATGTAGTTACCTGCCCAGGCCAGCTTCGAACCATGATCCTTATTCAGTTTCCTGAGTAGTTAGGATTACGGGTGTGAGCCACCCCAACTTTTTCTTTTTTTGTCAGTCGTGGGGCTTGAACTCTGGGCCTGGGTACTGTCCTTAGCTCTTCAGTTCAATGCGAGCACTCTACCATTTGAGCCACAGTGCCACTTGCAGTTTTCTGGCGGTTAATTGGAGATAAGAGTCTCATGGACTTTCCTGCTGGGGCTGGCTTCAGCCTCCTGAGTAGCTATTATTATAGGTGTGAGCTACCAGTGCCTGGCCTTTCTTTAGTTTTTTTTTCTTCTTCTTTTTTTTTTTTTTGTTGGTCATGGGGCTTGAACTCTGGGCCTGAGTGTTGTCCCTGAGCTCTTCAGCTCAAGGCTAGCGCTCTGCCACTTGAGCCATAGTGCCACTTCCGGCTTTTTCTGCTTACGTGGTGCTGAGGAATTGAACCCAGGGCCTCATGCATGCAAAGCAAAGCACTCTACCACTAAGCCACCTTCCCAGCCCTTCTTTAGTTTTTGATCAAAGTAATTTGTCAGCTTGACTTGAACTAGAAAGCAAAATTGACTAACTCTGAGTGGAATTTCTAAAATGTCTTCTTATTCAGGTTCATTCTCTGATCCTTTAAGAATGGGCATCTTGTTTATAAAAACTAAGTTGGGTGTCAGTAGCTTACACCTGTAATCTTGGCTACTCAGGAGACTGAGATATGAAGATTGAGATTCAAAGTCAGCCAAGGCAGACAAACCTGAGACATTCTTGTCTTCAATTAACCAGCAAAAAGCTGAAAGTAGAGGTGTGGTTCAAATGTTGGAATGACAGCTGTGAGCAAAATAAAAAACAACACCAAAAAAGAACAACAACAACAACAACAAAAAACAACACAAGGGAGAGTGAAAGACCCTGAGTTTAAATCTCAGTATTGGTGGAAAAAAAATTAGCTGATCCCAGTTTCTTGGGAGGCAGAGGCGGGAAGGATTATGAGCTCAGAGCTAGTTATTGCAAAAAGCTATTCTTAAAAATAAAATGAAAACTAAATGTCTAGGGGCATCGTCCAGAATGAGCAAGGCCAAGGGTTCAACCTTCAGATTCTAGGATGTGCAGAGATTTTCTATTTGCTTTGGAGACAAAACAATTTAGGGAAGATGTGACACCCCTGTGACAACTTACTGAGTTCCTCTTGCATTTTCTTCCAGTTTTCTGCTTCTTGTGAGTTGGGATATGTCACCAGTAATTCAGCTAGGGCTTCTTTAACCTTTTGGATTTTTGGAGAATTCTGTTCCAATTCAGTCAGGAAAGCCTAGAAAAAAGAATATCAAGCACATCATGAACTTGTAGATAGGAAAGAAAGCTGTGGATTGGGGGCAGGGGGACCCTGGAAGACTGGGTGAGCCAATTACAGGCTCAAGTCTGGATCTATGAATGACTTTTTAAAAATTTTAAAGTATGTAACCGTAGAGGCTTCAAGTGGTAAGAGTACCTGCAAGACCAAGACCCTAAGTTCCATTCCCAGTGCCATACCAATTTTTTTTAACCTTTTACTTCAGTATTTACTTTGAAATGAAAATCTACATGCATCATGTAAGTTTTAAGTACAACACATCAGTGGAATCACAATTGTCACCTAAAATTCAAAACTGCCAAGATATGATAATAGCGCTGTTTTGGTAGTTCCAGAAGATGATGTCCTATGCTCAACTAAAATAGTTAAAAAAATAAATAAATAAAAAGGAGAAAATTTCTCATAGGATCTATTATTTTCTATCTTCTGACATTTTTAACAGTTCCACATGTCAATCTTAATAATGAATTCATAATAGTAGTGTTTTAGATCCCTCAGAGTTGAAAAGTTTAGTTTCCCAAGAGTTGGGAAAGATGCTTGGCTGTCCTGTAGCATTACAAGGAAAATTAGACACTATTCTCAATGAGCTCATGCTTCTGGGCCGGGCTAATCACTTCCTGCAAACATACCTGGTTTTGTTTCTGAATCTGATTCATTACAATTTCTAATTTTACAGATAGGACAATTCTCTAGAAATCAGATTAAACATTTGGAAGTCAAATATACTGCTCATTTCACTCATTTCAGCCTGGAGCACTGGCCATGTCTCACTCCCTAGGTTGAGGGAGGGACACTGGTACAATAATCCCTTCCCCTTAATATTGGGATGTAACTTGAGTAAACACAGTACCTTGTTAGATTCTGCTTGGGCTTTCACTGTTTCTGTCTTGCTTGGAGACAAAGAGGCATCCATGGCTTTCAGAACTTCCTCTTTTGATTCCAGCCACTGCAACACTGAGCTCGCCTCCTTCTGAATGTCCCCCATTCTGTTGAGGACAGTCTGGAGGTTTTCCTGACGTTCCTGGAGCATTCTCCCAAGTTTCTCATACTTCAGGTTTACATCTGACATGTCACATTGGATCTCCGTCAGATCTAGTATCATAGAAAGAGAAATCAGATTGGGAATAACTCTCCTCTTTGTTCCTAAAATACTTGACAAGAGTTTATACATCTCTTTTACTCCTTGTAGTCAATGAATGATTATCTTTCTCCCAAATTACAGAAAAGTTCTTGTTTATTCTTGGAAATATAGCAATGAAATTCCACTCTATAACCAATATAAACTTAAAAAAAGGTTCTTGTGTAAACACACAGAGCAAAAGAGCTCTCAATCTGCTTTCTTGCTTTGGCATTATACTCAGCTGTAAACTTTAAAATGCCTGATAAACATGAAAACAACAAAAGTGAGGGAAGTAAAAGTAAGAAGTTAACTTTAGCATATTCTTGGATTCAATGGACTTGGAGCTCTTCTTTTCCCTCTTCTCTAAACTACAGAGAAGTCCCACAGCTAGACTGTATTATCTCTCTGCTTAGCCCACAGCCAGCAAATAGACATCATAGTTGCTTGTTCCCTAGGTATTCTTCCTCACACCACTTTTGGCAGCGGTTCCTCCACATATATTGAAACAGATGCAAACATAAACACACCCAACACAGAAGCACTGTTGAAATGGCATTCTCACCTTTGCAGGTATGGTATCCGTTTACACTGCCTATAGAGCTTCCTACAGAGGGCAGTATGGAACCTGAGCAGAAGGACAAGGAGACAAACAGGGCAAGACCAACGTGTTAGGAATACATATATGCACTACATTTCTTTGTTGGTGTTCACTTTAAGCTTAGGCATCAGGAAGTTAAACACAGCACAAGACAACATACTTATGGAAAGAGACAGATCATATTAGCTGCCTTATGTGTAACTTACGGTATATTGGCTCCTTAGCAGTAATGATTATTAATTCTTTCTAGGGAAAAGTAAAATTCCCCCCCTCCTTTCCTCCCCTACCCCTCCCTCTCTCGGTAGTGGGGTTTGAACTCTGAGCCTGGGCACTGTTGCACAGCTCTTCAGCTCAAGGCTAGCATTCTACCACTTGAGCCGCAGCACCACTTCTGGTTTTCTGGTGGTTAATTGGAGATAAGAGTCTCATGGACTTTCCTGCCTGGGCTGGCTTTGAACCATGATCCTCAGATCTCAGTCTCCTGAGTAGCTAGGATTACAGGTATGAGCCACAGGTGCCCAGCTTCTCTCTCTCTCTCTCCTCTCTCTCTTTTCTTCTCCTTTTTTGTAGTGGGGGAAGGGATATGGTATTGGAGTTTGAACTCAGGCCGATAACAAGCATTCTACAACAAGCATTCTACAACTTAAGCTCTGAACAATGTGAAGCAAGTAACACCAATTATTAGAATGAGGATTTATAATAAAGACAAAAAGAATGGAGCACTGATGACTCAGGCCCATAATCTTTGCTAGTCAAAGGTGGCTGAAGTCAGAGCACCAAGATTTAAATCCAGACTGGGAAGAATAATTCCTGAAACTCTTATTTCCAATTAACCAACAAAAAGACAGAAGTAGAATTGTGACTAAAGTGATAGAGCACCAGCCTTGAGCAAACAAGCTAAGGGAGATTTGAGGCTCTGAGTTGAAGATCCAATACTAGCACACAAACACAGAAAACAAAATAATTCTAATATCAATGTCTTTCATTATAATAAAAATGAATAATAAGTGGATGCTGTAATCCTAGCTACTCAGGAGACTAAGATCTAAGAATTGTGGTTCAAGGCCAGTCTGGGCAGGCAAGCCCAATTAACCACCAAAGAAAGCTGAAGGTGAACTGTGGCTCAAGGGATAGAGTGCTAGCCTTGAGCAAAAAAACCCTCAGGGACAGTGCCTAGCCCCTGAATTCAAGCATCAGGACCAGCACAAAACAAACAAAAAAGAATTCAATAAATACAAGTACACAAAAAGCATATTTGTTTAATTAAAAGCCTTTCTTGATTTTTTTAAAAGGTGGAAATTCCTAGTTTTCCCTTTCATGACCTCTTCTGCTTTTTTTTTTTTAAACTTCCCACAAAACAGAAATATTAAGTGTTGATAAATGTGGTTCGTGAACATTCCAATAAATTCTGCTTGGGGGCTTTAGTTCTCTCTCTAAATGATCATAAACATATTCTTAAGTTGGTTCTTTCTATTTCATAGGAGTTTTCAAAGTACAAATTCAGATATGAAATTATAAAGATAAAACAGAAATATGAGAAACAAAAATAGTTGTTAGGATAGTAATTATAAAACCTTGAAATATTAATGTTCTTATGCTTTCAACTAAAAATAGATCAAACAAAAAAATCTTGTTCCATTAAAATGTGGAAAATACTGCAATGTAAAGCCCACATTAGATTAGTAAACAAGAGAAGGTCCTAACCAAGATTGCCCTAACTCAGCATGTGAAACTTCATCCATGGCTGTCTAGCCATAGATGTTTCTTTTCGTTTGTTTATTTAGTCATGGGGCTTGAACTCTGGGCCTGGACACTGTCCCTCAGCCCTTCAGCTCAAGGCTAGCACTCTACCACTTGAGCCACAGTGTCACTTCCGATTTTCTGGTGGTTTATTGGAGAAAAGAGTTTCACGGCCTTTCCCGTGTATTTAGTTGATTCCCAACTATTTAGTTTCTCCCTGAATATCAAGCTTGTAGCATCCAGGAATGATAAAAAAAAAATGCATACTTATCCCTTTGACACATTCAAAAGAGAAAAGCTCAAGATAAAAATTCATTCTTCCATGGTATCTGAAGTTGTACATGGACCCACTAGTTCATTGACCCATCATAAGAAGAAATTCTGTAACATGGAGCAATGTTACAGCAAAGGGGAGAAACACATCAGGCTGAGAAGGAAGATTGTTTTGTTGACCCCTTTTCTTTTCAGGCTCAACTTTGATTTTTGACTTTACTAAAAAGATATCTCCAAAGGCCAAAAAACAAAGAATGACATTTATTTATCACATTTCAAGAGCCTGTACTCACCTGTTTTGACTTGGGAATCTGGTGCTGTTATCTCCATGATGAGACTTTCTAAAGAAGTGCCTTTGCAATTGATTTCTTCCACCAAAGTTCCTTTACTTTTCCAGTCATCTAGAAGACCCTGGTTAAATAACAAGTTGCTAAATGTAACATCTGGGGACCTTCAATTAATCAACAGGGACAACTTTTGTATATGTACTCCCCTAAAGTTTTGACAAGTATTAACAGACTCATGCTCATATTATGTTTATACATTCAGATATTTCAAGCTCATATATTTGGGCATCTCGTGATCCTGGTTTAACCAGTCAAGTTATGGCAGAACAATATCCTGGAATTTTCAGAAGCTTCTTCATATTCATCCCTATTGAATATTTATTCTAAGTGAGGCAACATGCAGAACAACTAGATTCAAAATCGGGTTATGATACTTAAAACTAAGAGCTCAGATGGCCAATTGCATTATAATACAATATAGGTTACTAGAGAAATATGGACAGTCAATGAATTTAGAGAGCATAAGAAGAAACACATCTGGTGGCCACATGGAAAAAGGGGACAGTATGTGTGAAAAGGGGAAATGATAACTAGAAGATAGTGAAAAGCTATATACTAACATGTAGAGAAATACATCTAAAGGCTACACTTTGTATTTATCAAGGGAACTTATGTTAGATTTGAGAAAGAACTGGATATACCATTAAAAACCTTTAGTACTAGTATTTTCTCCATTGTGAAACAATAGCATCTGCTCTGAGATAAAAGAAGTAGCCAAATCATGCTAAGTCTCTAATAATAGAATTTTACTCGTTCCAAACCAGGGACATTATGTTAGCTTTCAGTCCCTATCCCTAGCTTCATAACCAACATGCCTGGTAACTTATTGAATCTAAGCTATAAAGCTGTTAAAGTACAGAAAGACATAGAGACAACGTCCAGCCAGCTCATGTAGACTAACTTCAAATGATTCATAGTCACTGTCTTCCAAATCTCTCATTAATAATTCTTGACTTCTAAGGACCACAATCTCAAAACTGACAAGTGGGATATTGTAAGTTTTTGGGGAAATACAGTAACATTTTTTGGACACCATGTGAATGACTACTGTGAAGCTGTTTAGAACCTTAATACTTAGCAAGTAGAAATACTGGTGGACTTTTATTTTTGTTTTGCTTTGTTTTTGGTGTTAGTGGTGATGGTGAGGTATTATTAAAAAATTACTGAAACATTAAAGGCATTGTGAACTGAGGGATCTGGGAAATCTTTTTCTTAAGAATTTCCACTCTAAATAACCAAGCTCTTCCTTCTCATCTGCTTAAGATTCAGTTTGCTTTTATGAGAAAGTATGGACTAATAATGTGGCTATCTCAACAGCAGTAAAAAAGAGATTTGTCAGAGGCATAAGCAAAGACTGGAATACTATAAATTAAAGATAGTATAAAAGAGATTCTGCAAGAGTGGGGAAAAAGATTGGTTCCTATCTTCAAAGGTATCTTTCAACTTTTTGATTCTAACTTTTTCTTTATTAGATTGAATAGTACTAGTTATTTTCTCCATGGCTTTCTGACCATCTGTACCTAGTCACTTTTTCACATGTATCTGTCTAATCCTCAGGCATACTAAGGAGTGTAAGCTTTTCAAGGAGTGGACTTTGACCAATCATTTTTAGCATGAAAGAAATAATAGTGTTTCGTGCTAGGTGGGATTAGATGGGAATCAAATTAAGAGAATGTAACAAACAACCTGGATTTCTTATACCACTTCCCATTATAACTGGAGATCACTTCATACAACTTCCAAAGTATATTCTAGCAGAATTCATGGAGACACTTTCCTTTACCTACCTTCAAGTGTTCAATCTGCTTTTCAAGCTCTTTAGCACTAATGAAAGTCTCTGTGGGTGGAACATTCCCTTCAGTTTCTTTCAGCCACTTCTGGAAGGTCCTAATCAGCTTCCGGAATTCATCCAACTGCTCCTGGCAAGATGATGCATCTTTTTCTCTGTCAACAAAGATGTTTTGTTATTTGCCAGACAAAGTTTTGTAAAATGAACCAAAACTAGTTTCATTCTGTGGACTCTAGGCATCAGTTTTCTAACAGGGCTTTTCTTTCCTATAATATTTTCCATAGTAAATCTGGCTGAATAACTACATAGAATGTTGCTTTGAAAGCATCAGACTAAGGAATCTGCTGCCCATGTTTGGACATTTCTGTGGAAAGACGTGTTCAATTTCTGTGGAAAGAAGTGGTTAGTGTAAGCTAGAGTTAAAGTGAGAAAGCTAAAAGGAGGCTGCTATTTAGGTACTGTGATACAATGAAAGAATGCAGGTTCTGGTTCTCAAGTCCAGCCCTGTTAAATTTTAAGTATTTGCCTCTTTCAAGGCCCAACTCAAATGCTGAATTGGAGGTCCACTTAAGTTAGCAAAGTAGTCTTAGGTTAGTAAGCCAGACATAAATCAAGGAAATAGTTTTAGCTGAGTGTAGCAGTGCAATCTCAGCTATTTGGGAAGCAGAGACTGGGAGGACTGCAGTTCAAGGCCAGCACAGGCAAAAAGTTAGCAAGACCTCATCTCATAAAAATAGACTTAGTAGGGCTGGGAAGGTGGCTCAGTGGTAGAGCGCTTGCCTTGCATGCATGAGGCCCTGGGTTCGATTCCTCAGCACCACATAAGCAAAAAGAAAAAAGCCGGAAGTGGCGCTGTGGCTCAAGTGGTAGAGTGCTAGCCTTGAGCTGAAGAGCTGAGGGACAGCGCCCAAGCCCAGAGCTCAGGCCCCACAACCAGACCCAAAAAAAGTAAAAAAAAAAAAAAGAAAAAGCCGGAAGTGGCGCTGTGGCTCAAGTGGTAGAGTGCTAGCCTTGAGCTGAAGAGCTGAGGGGCAGTGCCCAGGCCCAGAGTTCAGGCCCCACGACTGGACCCCCAAAAAACACACACAAAAAAACAAAAATAGACTTAGTATAGTAGAGCATGTCTATTATCCCAGGCATGTACCAACCTCAATCTTCCTACCTAGGCCTCTTTCTATATAGGCTAGGCTTGGGCAATTATGTGAGACTCTATCCAAACAACAGTTAAAGCAAAAAAGGGCTAGAAAACACAAACCCCAGTACCACCACTGAAAAAAAGAGATCAAGTTTTGGAAATGACCATATCTATCAAGCAATCAGAGGTCAACCCAGAGTCTGCCTCAAACAGGTACAAGATACCGAGCATCAGAGAAACCTTTGTCTAACCAATTGTGCTAAGTGTTGACAACTATTTTTTTTTAGTCATTGAGGCATATGTCTGCTAAATCAAGATTGCTTTTATGTCTAAATCAAGGCAAGAAGTCCTGCTCACATTCTTAAAACCTTATGTGACTCCTCATGGGGAATTGTGGATTTTTAATAGTAGTAAGCTAAAATCAGTCAGCCTCTGTCATGTATTTCTTTATTTGGCCCCCAAAGAAGAATCTCGACACTCCTCCAAAACAGCAACTCAGTGTGGTCCAAACAAACATGAAGACTATAAATATAATCCTCAACCAGTTCTGGGAAGTCAACTCCAATCTCTCTATACTTTAAGTTCTGCCATAATCCTACTTATTGCCCTAAGTTTGTTTTATTTGTCCAGGTGATCTGGGCTTCCAGTTATATAGCGAAGAAGGTTGTCTCAAAATGAGAAGGAACTCCTAATTGGCAAGACAAAATCCCCAGAGTATCAAGTGGTTCAATAGTTTTGCCTCAAAGAGGCACTTCTGATCCTCCTGTGGCTCCACAAAAGCACTAGGGATGTTATTTTTTCTGGTAATGGAGCAAGAAAAAACAGGTCTCTAACATGAACCAATCCAAGAGAAAACTCACCTTTCTTGAACTGTCTTCTGTAGCAATGTGAAGTCCTTTCTGAGGTTCTGTACCCTGTCCTGGTGTTGGGACAGGTCCAGTGCAAGGCCACAAGAGTTCAGTGCAGTGACTAGGTCCTCAAGGGCATTTAGGCTCTCCTGTTGGTCTTCCATTTCCAAAGTGAGCTCCTGTACAGCAAAGGAAACATATTAAAACGCTGAAGTTTATGAATATACTCAGAAAGATGAGAGCTATCTATACCTCCAGGGAAAATTCTCCTTATTTTGCAGGAAGAAGGAGAACTAAAAAAAAATACTTTGTTAGATCAAAATAATAAAAATGTGTATTTTCTCTAATATAATGGATAGTGGCTAGGAATCACAAAGAAATTTTGTCTCCTTTACAAAAATATTTGAAGCTTTGGAAGAAGGCAACATAACAGAATGGCAAGAATTGAAAAGTTTCAGAGGATCAAAAAGATAATCAATTCAGTCGTGGCTCTGCTCCTCATTAGCTTGTAATCTTTTTTTTTTGGGTCCGGTCGTGGGGCTGAACTCTGGGCCTGGGCACTGTCCCTCAGCTCTTTAGCTCAAGGCTAGCGCTCTACCACTTGAGCCACAGCGCCACTTCCCTTTTTTCTTTTTGCTTATGTGGTGCTGAGGAATTGAACCCAGGGCCTCAGGCATGCAAGGCAAGCGCTCTACCACTGAGCCACCTTCCCAGCCCTAGCTTGTAACCTTAAGCCACTAAATTTCTCAAAGCTTCCAGTCTCATCTGTAAAATGAGGCAAAACTACTATCCCTACCATTATTTAAACATTGTAGTTACAGATATTAACCAATGCAATTACACTTTCTGCCAACATCTTTAAATCCCCAAAGGAAAAAAAAAAAGGAAATCTCATTAAATTCTTACCTTCTCCTGTGAGCTAAAGTATATTACTTGGTAGCATGTTATACAACACATTGAATGTTTATTCCTGAGTATCTAATGAAGCTGAGATAAACTAAAAGGAGCAAAAACTGAGGGACTAGGCTGGGAAGGTGGCTCCATGGTAGAGTGCTTGCCTTGCATGCAAGAGGCCCTGGGTTCAATTCCTCAGCACCACATAAGCAGAAAAAGCTGGAAGTGGGGCTGTGGCTCAAGTGGTAGAGCACTAGCCTTGAGCTGAAGAGCTGAGGGGCAGTACCTGGCCCCAGAGTTCAGGCCTCATGACTGGCAAAAACAAAAACAAACAAACAAAAAAAACTGAGGGACTAATTTGTAGAAGATTGTTATCTTTTGACCAAATTCCAGGAAACTTACACATGTTATAAAGAATAATGAATACAGAAGCTCATAGTGAAACTCTTTTGTATTCTTATAGAGATAAAGTAATTGGCAGTTGGTGAATCAAGGTGAAGTGTATGCAGTTATTTACTGGATTCTTGCTTTTTCTCTACAAAGTTTGAAATTATTCAAAGCAAAACTGAAAAATTTAGGAAACAGACTCTAAGATCCCACTTGAAAACTGAGAAAAGTTGGATAAACCTGAAATAATAATAGGGAGATGTTAAGGTACCGCAGGGGGCAATGTGTGCTGGTATAGTCATTATGAAGTTTAAACTGGCTGTTATATAGTCAAATTTAGTGTGATGTAGCAATCCTACTCCTGGCTATGTGTCTGTGATAGCTTTTAACACTTTTCATTGAGTGTTTTAGATCCACACCTTCTAGGTACAGTAAGATGACATTTCCCAACTACTCTGAAAATTGGATATGGGCAAATGTAACTTTGACTAATGAAATGTAAATGGCTATGCTATGTTCTCTTTCCCTTGTAACAGAAATCATGAAAGCTTCTGTCATGTTGAAGACTCAACCTGCATCCCTGAATGGCTACTGAGCCAAGTATGTCTGCTAAACTGGAGTGAACATGTAGTATGAGAAAAAAGTAAATCAAAAGATGGTTGTTGATCATTCTCTAAGATGATGCAGGCAAAACTTCTAATTAAGTGACAGATAGGGGGCTGGGAAGGTGGCTCAGTGGTAGAGCGCTTGCCTTGCATGCACAAGGCCCTGGGTTTGATTCCTCAGCACCACATAAGCAAAAAGAAAAAAGCCGGAAGTGGCACTGTGGCTCAAGTGGTAGAGTGCTAGCCTTGAACTGAAGAGCTGAAGGATAGTGCCTAGGCCCAGAGTTCAGGTCCCACAACCGGACCCCCCTCCCCCCCAAAAAAAAAGTGACAGATAGTGTTCACTAAGTAAATGCTGGTTTGCTCCTTGCTGTTCTTATCTCTTTATTCTGTCAACATTGCAAGTATAGTCTCACCTGGATCTGCTGAGAGAAATGTGCAATGTCTTGATCTGGCTGATTTCCAGAAGCCAGCATTCGACTTTTGTTTTCCATGAACTGCTGTAATTTATCAGAAAGCTGCTCAAACATCTCTGCCTGGGGCAGGAGCTTCTTTAGGGTGCTTTCTTTTTCCTGTTGCTGTAACCAAAGCTGCTCAAAGCTCTGGCTCACTTCTGCCAGTTTGCCCTGTAGTACTGCTGCTGTGGTACTGTCTGCTTTCTCCATGAACTGGGTCACCATCTCATGGGTGGCTTCCAAACTGCTTTTCTGCCGAGCGATGTCCTGCTTCAGTTTCTGTTGTCAAGAACAAATCTGTCATCTTTGGTTCACTTATTTCATGAAAACTAAGCCACCTATTAAAAACCTTCTAGTAACTATGTTCATCTCAAGGTTTAGGGGATGGAAGACTGCAATAGCTCTACAGAATGCTACATATCTTATCCCTTTAGGTTTCTCTTATTCTACAAAATCACTTTGCTATTACCACTTTTCCTTAGTCTCAACAGTTTGAAAATTGGAGATGCATATCTTTTGTGTGTGTGTATGTGTCTGGTGTTGGGAATGAAACTAAGATCTTATGATAATGATTAGATATTATTGCTAAACTTTATTACAAGAATCATGAACATGAATTCAAGTCCAGTTACCTTTTCTTAGTTACATAATTACGGTAAATAATTGCTAAACTTTATTACAAGAATCATGAACATGAATTCAAGTCCAGTTACCTTTTCTAAGTTATATAATTATGGTAAATGGCAAATACAACCTCTTTGGTAACTCTTGGTCTTACCATATTATTGGCAAGGGCTTCTTGAATGACTCCTGATGAGAGTGATGCCACCTGTTCTCCCTGGAGGTTTTGTTCAACTTCCTTGATGGACTGCAACAAGCTCTCTAGACTTTCCTGGACACTCTGAGACTGGGCAATTGCCTTCTGCAGAAGTGCAGAGCGCTCTGCCAAACTACAGGAAAGGCTTTGGAAGCAACTGAGTATGGAATCTGGAAGATCAAGGCCATGAAAACAAAAAGTAGGTACTATTTTGGTATTATGTTTTAAAATTTAATGTCTTTAAATTGAATATATTAATTTAAATTCCTGGCAATAAGAAAAATAAAAGGAATATGCTTGAACTGCATTAGTATCAGAGCAAATACAATAAGCATTATTTACCAAGATTAGGTGAGATACTAAGGGCTAAAGATATCTAAGATATAAGATTGTGTAAGATGCTGAGGACTAAAGATAACTAAGATAAAGTCTTGCTGGGTGCTGATGGCTCATGCCTATAATTCTAACTACTCAGGAAAATAAGATATAAGAATTGCAGTTTGAAGCCAGCCAGCCAGGCAGGATAGACAGACAGATGAGATTCATATCTCCAATTATCCAGCAAAGAGCCAAAAGTTGAAGTGTGGGTCAAATGGTAGAGCACCAGCTATGAACAAAAAAAAACCAGAAAGAAAGAAAGAAAGAAAGAAAGAAAGAAAGAAAGAAAGAAAGAAAGAAAG